AGATGCCAGGCACGCTGATAAGGCGTATGCAGAATCATATAAAGAACAGAAGAAAAAAATACAGACAGTAGTGCGTAAAAGCCAGTCATAAAACAAAGTGAGACCATACAATTAATTGAAAGGGAAACCTATCTTCACCATTATAATCCCTTTGTCTGGATTTTTCAGAATGGCCCAGTGGATCACAATTAATTGAAAGGGAAACCTATCTTCTCCTTCACCATTATAATCCCTTTGTCTGGATTTTTCAAAATGGCCCAGTGGATGAAATTGAAACTGATTTTGCTTCTTTGAGTGCAGGGAAGAAAATTTGACTAGAGCAGTGACCTTTACCTACAGCATAGACCAAACTACTTTCTGGGGATTTAGTAAAGGGAAACTGTATTGATTATGACATTTACAGACAGAACTCTCTGTAAAACTTTAACACTGCTAGTTTACCTCTAAGTGGCTACCAAAGTATGATCTGCTTAAAACTGCTTCCATAAGAACAACAGAGTTATTATTGAGCACACTGCCCTGCATCAGGACTAAGGGCTTATTTTATCATTGCAAAATAAACTGCATATAGATAGAACATCAAAAATAAGAGGTATTTCTGACCTCCCTCTTTAGAGAAGCCCTATGAAATATTACACTATTCATGCTTTAAAAAGTGTAGTAGCTTTATTGGAAAAGCTGAGCTGCAGCACAACTGCTCTTGCACTATATAAATGTGCTCTTGCACTATATAAGTTGTGTTTGAAACCAAAGAGGAGACAGCAGACCCAAATTAAGAACTTAGCAACAACTTAAGAGTTTTCCAAAAAGCATTTCAGAGACATTTACAGAGAACTTTTCCCAGAAATGCTGGCTTATATATCACTGCTGTGAAGGAGCAACAGTAACTTCCAATAGCATGTTGCTGGCACAACTTTAATATATTCTGATTTTGTAATGATACCCACAGTACATTACATCTTCATTTTGAAAACCATTATGCCCACTGGAACAGGACAAGTGAAGAATAAGATATTAGTGATTTTCCATTATACCTGTAAGTGCACTTTGAAACAAAGCTTGAAAACTTTCACCAATTTCTTACAATAAAAATGAGAACATGTCTTAAACTTGCCAGAAAAAATGGAGAAGAGCAAGTGTTCTCATCAGTATCAAAACCTGGAGTGTCTACATTTGCAATATAACTCAGTGCTCATGGCAAGAAATGTGGTACCAGCACAATGACCTATCAAAGCCATAGTTAAGTTTCTCAGGTAGAATATAAAGGATTTCCTTGTTCCCTACTCTGTCCCTCAAGACAGGAGGCTATAGAGGGGGAGATAAGTTGGGAGGGGACACAGCTGGGACAGCTGATCCAAATGGACTGAGAGGTTATTTCATGCTAACACCATGCTCAGCAATAAAAACTCAGGACTTTGGGGGAAGCAGCCATTGCTTTGGGGCTAGTTGAACATTCATCTGCTTGTGGGAAGTGATGAGTGCCTTTGCATTTGTTTCCCCCTCCTTTTATCTTTCCTTCACTTGTTGAACTGTCTTTATCTTGTCCCGTTTGTTTCTTTGCATTTGCTATTGCTTTTGGCCAAATTTGGTGACTGAAATATTGCCTAAAAAGCAGGAGGAGTCTTCCTGGAGCCAGCAGTAGCTCTCATATTTTTTGTCATTATGTAAAGGATTAAATTTGTCAGGAGCATCACATACCCTGAACTGTCAGTTGCTGAGGTGAATAAGATCTTCCAGATGGCTGGCTGGGTAGGCTATATATCTTCCTTCCAGAAATGAATTTTAATGTATAATTTCCCTACTGTCTTGATAGAGCTCCCTTGTAAATTCAAGCTAGTTCAACTGTACTCAAGGCACATTCCATTTACACAGGCTCTGGAAACATCTTTGCAACCGGAATATCAGCACAGATTCTCAGGATGGGTTACTGCATGCCCATCATGTTTCCAGTGGTCTCACTTCCCCACAGGCCAGAAGTAGGTGCAGCACAGTGCTTTGTTTTGATGCTTGTAAAATGCCAGCACATGTCAGGCAATGCCCAGCTCTGTACTTTCTTCACATCCTGTTTGCAGAAGACAATCAGCTGTATTAAAATCCCACCTCAAATCAGCAGTGGAAGGCAAAGTCATACGAATGACTATAAAAATCATGCACAACGTGCTAGAATTCTGTTCTGCTGGCTTATTTTTTAATCAAAGAAATTTAAATCAACATTTTTGATGTTGATTTACTGGACATGACATGAAATTTGATTAGCATATTATGGTTAAATTCTTTGCTTTAGATTTGATTTCTTTATGAATTTAACATCACATTGAATCACAGTTATTTTTTTTTGACCATTGAGCCTGGGGCTTCTGGTCCTGTTCTACTGCAATCTGCAGAGGCAAACCTCATTACACCACTGTTTTTCAATAAAACATATTTTTTACAGAGTCATTAAAAAACCCTACTTTTATGGAAAAAGCCATCAAACAGTTTATATGTTGTAAAGAAATAGAAGTATTACATGGTGTCTGCATGTTCCATAAGTAACTATCTGGCTTTTCAAAAGAAAACACACAGGCACCAGAGTTTTTATGTTCATATGTCTTGTTAATACTAGAAATAATATGTTTTCTAATAACCTTTTCACTATCACATTTCGACCCAGCCATGGTGAGCTCTGATACTTTCACTGTATTTTAAAATCAAAACCCCTTATTTAAATTGCATTTTGTCACCAGGTCCTGATTCTGGAAACTACATTAACTTCTATTCTGCTCCATGCCTCTCATTGGACAACTTATCTTTATCTGTTAGTCATAGACTTTTTGTAAATTATTTTAACAATATAAGAGTTTTCCAGATACTCTATAGCAGCCTTGTTTCTGGCATTAAGAACATAATCCTTGAAAAAATTGCTCTGCTATGGAACTGAATGAGTGAATTTTGTATGGAAAGAGGAACAAATGCCTTAAAAAAATTAATAATTTGTTGTCCGATGTTAGAGGAATTCTGGAAGCATAAGTATTATTTTTATGTTTGAAAAATGCAAATATAATTCAACTTGCCAGCAGAGTGTGCAGGATGTCCAAGTTCTTCATTCACCCCTGGATATGATAAATAACAATAGGAAAATTACAACCTCGAAACCAGAAGTGAACTTGGGTTTGAGCTTCAAATTCTAATTTGCCAGTTTTCAGTGTGACTTTGGACAGAAATCTATGTGCTGATTGACAGAACCTTGTCCTCTGTGAGAAACAGGTGGCTGATGTGCAGCTATGCCTCTTGCTATCACACCCTGCTGCTTCCAGTCATGACTAGCCCTGACCCATTCATCCAACACTCCCTGGTGTTACCAGCTAGGAAAAATTTTCCTGTAGTGCTTTCTCTTTGCACACTTTCTGTATCAAATTTTCAATCCTCTCCTGAAACAAATCTTATGCTTTTCAATGTCCTTCAGTGAGATTTTCTTTTCCATGTATGTGTGAAGGTTATCAGACAATGAAATGCTTTGCCTTCTTCTGTGTGATATCCAGGAATGGTCAATCAGCATTTGGCTAAGAACTGTTCCAACTAGCTCATGTTCCACCATTAAGTCTGAAACTTTTGCTCTTCAAATTTAGTGTTCCACAATTTAACACAAAATAAAAGTTGTATTTTATTAACACAGTCTTTATGAGGTCTGCCTCTGAAATGGCTGCCTTCTGTGGGAAAAACTGAGTTGCTCAACATGTTGTCCCCATCCTTTCAGCTGCATGACTGAAACTGATTTTTCTACTCATCGAGAGCCCTAGAAACAAGACATGATATTCTGGTAACATTCAGTTTCTTCTTGTGCCTGTCATTCTGCATTTTGTGGCAAAGGCCTGTTTCTGCATTCTGAGTAGTTTGAGAACTTAAATATAAAAGAATAAATATTTTTTTACTAAAAAATAGAGGTCACAATAGTCAAATAGTGCAAGGAAAATGGGAAGATAATTACAGTGAATGTGTGCGTGTATAAAACATATGCCAACAATGTAAACCTCTTCTGAATTCATACAAATAATTGCTACTATTATTTTAACATTAGCATTTGAGTCCTCTAATTTTTAGCAAAATTAATGTTCACTTGTCCTTTGAAAGAACTTTCATTAACACCCTTTATAATCATTCATTATTTAATATTTGGAACCAAACTAACCTTTGCAAATGTCCTTGTTACTGTGCTAAAATACAGAACTCAAACAGGTAAAGTTTCAAGAACTTGGCAATGAGGAAAATTTTGGGAGTTAGAATGGAAAAATTAGCTCTCCTTGAAACCAATGGTATAACAAGAAATGCCAATGAAGACAATTGAGTTAACAATGGGACACAGAGTTTGGAAGAACATTCATTCCCTTATCTGACTGAGACAGTTTATATGGTTGTGTAAGTACACACTGGTGAGGAGAACTTGGAAGTCTGTTTACCCTGTCATATTTTATACCAGCTAATATTATGTTGGGACATCTCTTAGTCTCAGTTTAGTGAAATAATTGTGCCTCAGGAGCATACCATCCATTTCACGCTTAACAGCTTTGGAGAATCTGAAGGATTCAGCATTGTTCACTGATCACAGGATGGAAACATTTTCTGGTACAGCAAAAATTTTACTCAAGTATTTAATATAATCCTTAGCTATCTATTTTCAAGGCTGAAGAGACCTCATCTTATTTTGCTTAAATTTGCCCAAATCATACTCATTAAACTTTCTATTTCTGCTTTCCATTATGTGCTTCCTTATAGCAACTGTGATTGGTATTTGAGAAATGGCTACACTAGTCATAATACTAATTTTAACCCCATCACCTTTATTTAGAAACACTTCTTTCATGTGCAGCTCATTGCATTTATCAACACTGAATTCCACCCGCCTTTTTATTTCCCAACCACTCAGTACAACTCTGTAACTCCTTGCAGCCAGTTAACTATCCTGAATAAGTTTGTAGCAATCAACAGGAAACCACCACTTTTCTGTTCATCTTCTTGTTCAGGACATTCAGCAAAACTGAACTCTCAATATAGGAAAATGCATTTGGTAATTGAACACCAAACTATTTTTGGTCAAGAGCATTTATTGTTGAATCTACAACTTATTGGAAGTCAGCCGTTTTTGGAATACAGAGATACAGTAAGCATCACAGGATATACTCAGATCCTTTCCCTTCCTGGATCTTTTGGACTATGGGAGAAGAACTGGAACAGGGTATGTCTGCTGATCGGGAAATGCACTGAGATTTCTCTTACAGACTTAGATTCTAATTTCATTTCTAATTGGAATGGCTCCCAGTACTCTCCAAGGCCTGTCTAAATGACTACAAGGTAAGTCTTTAAAATAATAAACCAAATTAGGGATTTAATAGTCTAAGATGTTAACTTTGAAATGACAGCCATGATTTTTCCTTAGAGGCATTGCATGGGATATTGTCTGCATCATAGTGAGAAGGAAATTGCTAAGGTAACTCACTGCATTCCTGGAAGCATTAATGAATACTTAACCAATTTTGCCTTCAAATTTTGGACAAAAGCAATCCTTGATACAGTCCCTCAAACAGATAATAATGATGTATGTTTGTGGCTGGAATCGACTGAATATGTGCCATATCTGAGGAAGGCCACAGAGATTTTAGTTCTTAGTTCTTTAGTAGCTCTTAAATTTTTTTCTTTCTTCATTTCTTCATCATTCTGATTCCAGGAAAGTGTGGGGTTTTATTCTCTGGTAGACAAGTCTCTTCTATCCCTAAGGGATAATTTGCATGCTAAGCTAACCAATTCTGGTTGTACATTCAAGCCAATTTGCATAATCATGTATGCTGTAGGTAAATATGTTTTCCTGCACTGAATCTGCTCCACAGAAAGTGAGGATCAGTGACACCTTAAAGACCAGAACTCCCAAATTCCCAGCTCTCAGCCATGTTACGGCATGAAATTGTACACAAAGACAAGGAACTCAAGGTTTTGTATGTGACACAGTGATCAATTTGCAATAGAGAAGGATGTTTAAATTAATGTTCTTGTTGGATCTGTGTGCAGCACCGGCCCCTTTACCATGTTAGGGCTTGCCTTGTGGAGTGATCACAAAGCAACCAGCTGGGCTGCTCTTGAATGAAGCTGGACTAGAAGGTGTGATTTAGGAGTGAATATAAGATGTTCCCGTGATCAATGACTGTTAAGTTGTTTAGAGCTAGTCTGATGTAAAATGCCTGAAATACATATGGAGCAGATCCTGGCTCTGCACCAGCTATTTCACCTCACAGATCTGCTTCTCTTAGGCTGTACTACTTGTTTATATAAACATACTCCTGCTGCTCAGAGGTATAAAGGAGCTATTATGAAACTGGTCTATTGCACTAGTCCCTTTCTGAATTTTGGACTAATTTTGTAGAGAACAGAGAGAAGTTAGGTCTGACTTTAACACAAACTAATCAATCTGCTTTCTCAACAAAAGAGACTACTTCTAGATACTCATTATGGATGTGCACTAAACCTCCTCTTCTGAATTGGCAAGCATACTGTAGCTACTATTCAAAATGTCAATAATTTGAAATATAACGGAAGGTTAGTGAAAATCACACCTCTGTTCAGTAAGACTCTGCATTGTATCTTTCTTCTCTTTTCATTCCCTTTCTTATTATATACTTTCTGAAATACATTCAAAATATATTTTCCAGTTTAGCCTGGAAGGAATATGTGATATGAGTTTGGCAGTTGGCTCAGTCATGTGTTTCCTCTGTGGTTTGGTCCTTCATCTGTGAAATGAGAATATTACTTTATAAAGGTGTCATGAAGATAAACTCAGTTAATTTATTGTGAAGCTCTCATATGTAGAACCCCTGGTTAATTTGTTCCACTCATCTTTTGCCTCTCTAGATTTGCTTTTGCAATCAATTTTCCCTCTGTATTAAATAGATGCCTTTTCTATTTCTCATAATGTAGCTTACCCTCAATTCAAATAATGTAAAACATTGTTTGTTTATCTTGTTTATTCATTTGTCAGATGGCCTTGTCTATCTTGGCCTTGTCAGATGGCCTTGTCTATCTTCCTTCCACATGGACATTGTTCTAGTAAGTTTCTATTGTTTCTGCTGTCTGCTTGAGTTTCTTTTGAGAAATGACGTATTGACATATCTGACACATTGTCCTTGACTGATCAATGAATTTGAGGACTAGAAATCATTATATAATGTGTTAAGAATTGGATTTTCAAGCTGAAGTCCTGTCTACACCCAATATTTTTTTTTTTTGAATGCTTCATGGCCTTTAAAATATACTGGTACAGGCTTTTCCTAGTCTCACTTTTTACTGGGCTCATTGATCTGTTTAGAGTCTACTTTGCAGACAGATGACTTGGCAAAACTGGGAGTGCAGCAAACTGAATATATCTGGAGCTAGTTTTGCCACCAGAGAAATCACAAAGTGCTATTGTGTCTCTTGTCAGTTTGGCAGCTTTAAATCTGCATTTAGACTATTTTAGGGCTGACACCAATATGTTTGCTAGCTTGCCTCCCTTCAAAAGTACAAAAGAAACTGCAGATTCTCTTTGTGGAAAACAAAATCAAGAGAACACCAAAAGCCATTTCTGCAGGAAGATTCCTACAGAATTCCTACACTTATTGGTGCAAACAGTAGGAAAGTAACAAGAAAAGAAGAGTAGAGAGTAGAGAGTAGAGCAAACCTAATTTGAAAATTTATCACATTTATTGGAGCACCTACCCTGGTGTACCAGGACACTGTGTCAAAAGAGGTTTGTGGAGTCTAAGGACAGAAGAAAAACAACTTCTTCCCTCTCATATGAGGAGCAGAAGTAAAACCAGTACTTCCTCTATTTAATGTTTAAGACTCCTCTCAATGTTTACTAGGTGACTTAATTTTACTTTTCACACCTATTTTTAAACACCTATTAAGTCCCACTTAGTCCCTTGGCATTAACAAGGTATGATGTAAATAAACAAGACTAATAGGATGCAAAATTAATCATTGTGTTTGTTAAACCTCATATTCTCATCTCATGTTAAATACTCCTAGGAAGAAATTTATTTTTTATTCTCTAGAAAAAAAAAATTATAAGAAAAATTAGAAACATTTAAAGAAAAATGTTTCTCTTCAAAAAAATTCTTAAATGGAAAAGTAAAAGACATTTCATTGAAAATACTTCATATATTTGGAGCCATATATATTTACAGAGTTCTAAATCTATACTTATTTCATAGCTTTTTGGAACACTTTACGGTTGTGCATCTGTCTTCTGTGGTAGTTATTTTATGACTTCAGTTATTCTGTAGAATAAGTTACACAAGTATTTATGCAGCAGCTTCCCTTGACACGCAGTGAGAGTACAACAGTGAATCACTCAACAGTGTATACTTGAGCAATTTATGACTCAAAGTCCATAAATCAGATAGGATCTGATAGTTGACCCAGATTTTTAAAAAGAAAGATTATACTGTACTTGTTGGTTTTTTTAGTGACTTCTGTCTCTCAAATATGTTTCTGAGAGCAAAGTTGTACTCCTGGGATTGCCCTGTTGCCTACTGGGATTGCCATATTTGTTCCAACATCCTGAAAACTGAAAGCTTAATTTTCCAGATGTTCTTTCTGTCAGCCTGAGACATCTTGCAGGGCATTGGTGACTTCTGTAAGGGACTCACTTCTCCAAGGGGTGTCCACATTCTGGGCTGATATGACAAGAGGGAGTCTTTCAACAAATGTCCCCCTCCTCATTGCTTTTGCCTTTTTTTACATGTCACCGGTAAAATTTGCCTTGTTTGTGTGTTTCTTTGTGCCTTGTTTATCTCCTAGTTGCCTCAATAAATATTGTTCTCCTAAATTTATATTTTCTTTGTCAACATTCTAGTTAGCCAGCCTGAGCCTCTTATGTGAGCTCTCAGACCAACCCTCTGTCCAACTTCTTGTATTTTTGGAAGATACTCTATAAGGCTTTAGAGCAAAGAAGCAACCCTGTATGATTCTGCCTCTTATTCTGGACAGGGATGGACCTGTCCTAATTTAGAGGCAGGCTGCCCATTAAAGGAAGAACTCAAGACCTACCTAATTCCTAAAATAAAAGGAGTGGCAAAGGAGGGAGAAAAGCTCCTCCCAACTGCTTGTGTGCCTCATTTCCTGAAGAAGTGTGGGCTCAGATGTGAAGGAGGGGGAGCTCTGACAACTTCTTCCAGTGGCCCTGGCTCCAAATTTGGTCATCATCCATCTCAGATGTGAATGAATGTGACAGGCATTTTGTGGGAGAAGAAAGGGGTGGATTTTGAAATAGCCTGCTGCAAAGCTGCCTCCAGATGTAACCAGACTTGGATCACATTCCAAAAGAGATCTCAAGAGCTGGAAACACTCAACACATGTTAAGCCTCTGGCATAGGTTTTCAGAAAACTGATTTCCTCACCTGCTGCTGGGAAGCCAAACTGTATATTCTGATAAATATCACAAAAGATGAGCACCTGCAAACAGGGCAGGGTGTTGTCCTTCATCTTCTAAACGGAAACAAAGACTTATGGAAGAAAAAGCATTACTTTATCAATATTTTCTCACTACACAGCCATCATTTTAATTTGTATGACCAAGACACCACTTGCACTCCTGTACCTCTCTCTTCCATATTTTAAGAGGTTCAGAAAATACCTGGGAGCTACTTGGACTTTGGAAAAATCAGTCAGAGGTAAAAATCTCTAAATGGGCTGGAATTGAAACCATAAGATGATAATTCTCCATTTGTGATGTCCCGCTACACAAAGCACATAACTTTTCTTGCATAAATTAACTAGGAAAGAACGCCAATGGCATCATACCAAAAAGGATTATGTTGAAAATATATTTATGTTCTGTAAGCTGATATGCAAACATAACAAAATGATAATTGCAAAGTACTATTCAAAAACCTAATTCAGTCTTCTTTTTTTTTTGTTTGTTTTGTTTTGATTTGCTGTTGGTGGTGTTTTATTTTACTTCCATTCACCATGCTGTAACAACAAGAAGCTTTACTTCCAGAAGACTCGTGAACAGGGGCTCTGAAATAGAATATTCTTTGTCTAGTAGAATTGGAGTTTGTTACAACTCTCACGTAACACTACTGATTGAGAAAATGGCCATGGTGAGAGAACTCAGATGTAATAATTTATTTTGTATATTCTAAATTGGCTTGTGCTTTTCTAGTATTAAATCAGAATTTTCAAATAGATTTTTTAACTATATGAAAACATAAAAATATTGTTGGCCAGCCAGGAAGAAATTATATTCTCAGAGGATGCTTGCTTTCTACATAGGACAAATTTTTATATAACCTATCCTCTAGAGTGTGAAATATGATCAG